TGTTTTACGGTCTGCATATGATTACAATTGTGAGGTTTAAAATCTACATATAATTACAAGTATGCGGTTTACAATCTACATATGAATACATGTATGTGGTTTGCAGTCTACATATGAATACATGTATGTGGTTTACCCACTACGTATGAATATAAGTGTGTGGTTCACGGTCAACATATGTATACAATTGTGTGGTTTAAAGCCTACATATGAATACAAGTGTGTGGTGTACCGACTACATCAATCTGATTAAAATCTGATGTTGTGTACGGGCTTTAATTATTTTGGCTATAAACTTATTTTAATTTATTTTTTTATTACTTTTGTTAATAATGCCTTTTTATTTTATTATTTTACTTTGATTTTGATTTTGTGATTTTTTACAATTTTAATCAGATTGCGTCTACATATGAATACAAGTATGTGGTTTACATTTTACATATGAGTACATGCGTGTGGATGTAATAAATGTTTGAATATAAGTGTGTAGTTGACAATATTCATATGAATTCAATCGTGGTTTACAGTTTTTATAAAGTGTGTGGTTTATCATTTACATATGAATACAAATGTTTATCATCTATAAATGACATAAGTGTTTCATTATCTACTTATACAATCACAAAGAAAGCATATACACTCAAATTAATAAAATAATGGCCTACATAGTGGGAAACACGACCCGAGACTAGATAATATTACACACTGTATCATGTACATCATACATAGTGGGCCGTACATAGAAATACATACGATAAATTACGTAGAAGTGTATGGGCGGCGATTTATATATAAATCAGCGCCTCTTTGAAATTGAAATGGCGAAACTTGATAACAGAATGACTACGATTTACAGTAATTACAATGTCCACAAGTAACTAAATAACAGAACTGCCGTGACGTCGCTCGTAAGTCATTTCCGGTGACAATAAATGAGTTAGAATGAGGCTCACGTGATATTATTTAAGTAAATGCATTTTATTTGTAGTCTTTTTTCGGTAATGTTATTTCCCCACAGCTGTAATGCTTCTCGTTTATTTCTTTGATGATATTCCGACAGCATTGGTTTATTGACACGACTCACATGGCAATGTATTAGCAATCGACATGGTGTGAATACGAGGTTATTATGAATATACATCCGGGACATTTCAAATATCGGAAAGTAATTCATTCAATATATGAGAACCGGATAATGCAACAAAGTTAATTACACTGAATAGACTGCGAACTGTTTCGTCTATTGTATTCCATAAAATACTGAGTATTGGGATAAAGTGTTGAAAGGCCCAGTATTGCACAGGTTAAAAAACTGGTGCAAAATCAATGAGGATTGGTCTTATTCAATACGTTCACCAAGATTGCTCTTGACAGAAATACTGATTTATGAACTTTGCGATACATAGTCATGGAGGAGTGGGTATTTTCAATCAGATAAAGTATGTGCGTGTATCTGTACTAATACTAATACTGTTAGACACGCAGGTGACACTTGACACGTATTTACTAAAAATAACTAATTCTATTCTAAATCACTAAACCTAAAATATACATAATTATATGGTTCTTATAAACCGGAAACAATCGGACCATATAAACAGAATGTGGCGGTACTGCAAATATGTAACCATCAAAAGAAAGCACGATATTTGACCACAATAGTTACACACACAGTTAAAAACTGAACCAAGTTATCTTTGAATGTCAAAAACGTAAGCTCGGTGACCGTGTCTGAAAGTTACAAAACTTGCCAGTGAAATGCAGTTCGTCGCGTACATTGAAATATACAATATTTACAAGAGGACGTTTTAATATAAAATGATACAAGGTTTATTGCTTCAATGTACACAGCAGTGTTTACTTAGAGTATTAGTTCTGTCTAGAGTGCACCATACGCCGTGCCTTTTCGAAGTGAGCAGAATAGCTCTTAGTAAATTAAACAGTCGCAAAGCAAACACTCGCAGTATGCCTTACTTGAATACTCTATAAGCAGCCGTCATATCATGTCTGACATCACGTCACATTTACGTTTATCGCATTTCATCATCAAAATGGATTACTTCATTGGAAATGGGTCTCTCGGTTCATATAACGATGCAATTACGGAAACAATTTAATAATTACTTTACCTGATCGTTATTGCATATACTATTCACGTTTTAACTCAATCGCTCGGTTGTAGGTTAAAAGTTTTAGTCTACTGTGTTATACGGCGGCGTTCACGTGCGTGTGATACGTCAGCTCCGTCCTTGCTCGACCGTGAAATCTCAACTTGTACGACAGCGCCCTCAATGCCAGGTGTTAAAACAGTGATGGCCACCTGTATGCATCGACTTCCTGTATTCTTGCAATTAACATTCTGTAATATTACAGCCCTTGTGAATGCACGATCGACGCAAACTATAAAAAACACATATTTTCTAAATTGTCGCACATTGTCTTGGACGAAAAATTCCGTGACCTATACGTCAATTAGTGTGTGAAATACCAAGCACACAGTTGGCATGCATTGGCATGAGATAAGGAGGAACTCGTTGCATAGTTACGGATACATTACAGTTACTATATATGACCACTCGTCCACAGATGTACCATGTGCACGTTATCTAATTTCACCCAGTGCCAGTTTTAAGAGAAGCGAATGTTTTCAATATGATGGGGCCATGATCAAATTACACTTTGTTCCCGAAGACATGGATGTTTCGGATAAATAAAAATGTAAAAAATATTGAGATACATTTACTCTGACTACGTACGTAAAATATATTATATATGGGTGGTATGCACTCATTAAGTCACTGTTATTAGTCAAATTGTTTCCAAATTGTTTTTTGAAATTTATTAAAAACATTTGTGCCTTCATAAAAGGGAGTGTAATTATTATAATGCCAAATGACCCGGGTGGTTGACAAAATCAATATTATTGTTCGTCACGGTTATCAAATGAACGAAAAAAAAAACTTTCTTCTCTGGCTGTTGAAACCATGAAATCCAAGATGGCGCCCACGATACTTGGCATGAATACACAGCGTATTTATATGGTTTAGGATTGGTCATATTTAGTTTATACATTTGTTACTTAGGTACCTTTTGATTCAAATGATATGAGCGGGCCAGAGGAGCACGAAATATAAGAAGGTAACCAGGCTAATATTTGGACACATTGGTCGAATCATTTCCTGATCACATTTTCACCAGAATTCGTCATATTTGATAAATGATTGCTCATATTTTGCCAAGAAGTCACTGTACGCATGCTCTGCAATTATAATGAAAGAGAGAACTATTTCGATCAATAAACGGATTGTAAGTTCACTAGATAAGCCTTTAAATCAACCAATTACATTTCCCTTTGTCACTTCATCAACCCGGCGTATCGGCCACATCTATTGTATTTTGTTTTTAAATACGTCTCTTGAATAAATCAAGTAAGAATTTATGGTTACTTATATCGTTGTACTATTTCACAAAATTATCTACTGATCTGCGATTTTATCTCAAAATTGATTTTTACATTCAATCATAAATTGTATACCATGATATCAACTTTAATGTCTTCATACCTAATGATCATCATATGGGACCATAAATATACCAAGGAGGCTGGATATAAGAGTGGGTGGGAATTAGGCGATTACCCATTTTACCTTCCTACACATTATAAGAAGTTATAAAACTATGTTTCATAGTAATGTCATATACGGGTGCCATTTAGCTCAATCTGAAGCCGGTTTATGCGTCATGTCGAAATAAAAGAAACATGCTCGACTGAAATATAGTGTACACAACACTAGGTACAAAGTTTGACGTGGTTCATGTACACGCATGTGCAGCGGTTCAACAGGCTGCATAGGCTGGGGTTTCACTGGAATATTCTCTCTAACTGAGTCTAGTTAAATCCATAATCTTTCCACATAATTATACTAAACTATTCAATGAGGTTCTCAGAAAAATCAACACTGTTACGTAAGAATAGCCATCTATGTCGTTCGATGGCATTCGTTATTAAACTTATTTGTATTGACGACCTTCTTATAATATTATCGCCAAACTATTAAATAACGATATAATAATTACACCTAATTTCATGGATGCATGAATGTTTGTTTATACGTTCATATATTTATAGATGTTGTATAAATTTCAAATTACGGTTGAAAACAACCACTCTTAGTGACTGGATGAATGCCATCCATATAGGATAAATATTATCGAGTTGTACGCCGTATTCGATAACAACTCTTTGTTTTCGAATGGGGAATTTTCATTAGATTTCCCGCCAATAAATTGTTTACTTGTACCATGGTCGCGTGCCTTTCAATACTAGAACAAACATGTCTATTCCGGTCACGTGATCCCCTAAATCTTCAACGTAAGCAAAGCCATGATATCAAATGCTCAACCTTGTTATCATTGTCATCTTTGACCAGACAAAACCTATTGTTTAGTGGGGGCTGCCTCAGATATTGCTTCATATCCACGACAACATGGCGTGTTAAGCCAGACAATATGCTGAAATAGACAACTCATGCTGTTCATTAATTCAGGTAACTGAACCGACTCATGTGGCGTACTTGTGTCTTTTTCTTTACAATACTGGTGAACGACGGAATTCAACTACGTGAGATCATATACGGCCTTGCACCACGAAGACTTAATGAATCGTGATTTACTTTAGACGATGAAGATTTTTAATTTTACGATCAAAGATCAACCGACCAACCAAGGTATTGACAGTTATTACCTATTTATTGTATCGACGTAATTATGCTAACAGTAAAACTGTGGACAAACTTAGATGTTGGCTGAACACATGAACTTTGACCTTGCATACCACTACTGTTTACCTGACCTCGGATCACGGAGTGTCTAACGAATAAACACCGATCGCAATTGACTCGACCTGGTTGTTATCTCTAATTATCCTCTCGTTCACCACGTGTGAAGTGTATTAACAAGAAATGAAAATATTGATGCTAAAAAGAGTATTTCTTATAGTGATGTTGCTTGTAACTCTCTGTGACTCGGCACCGTTTGATTATTGGATTACTTTTCCGGATGTAGAGATTGATGATATTAGTGAACAGCACATTGAACGGGACTTAGACCCCAGTGACGGCAATGACTTTTTTCTTTATGATAATTTCGATAAAAAGCGCGAAGATGCCGCTGATTTGGAACTAAAATTAGAATTCGGAAAACAAACGTCTGAAGATGAGCAGTATCTGCGTTGGAAATTAGCAAAACAGAAATACGGCGAGGAATACTTTTATCGCGACAAAGACTCGCTCTTCAAAGAAAACGAATCGAGTCTCGGAAAAAAAGAAAGCAGCGATATTGAAACAGGGAACGATTTACTCAATTCATGGGAAGATGAATCGGACGGAGATGAGACATCGAATCGAAAAGATAACGAAGTGGAAGAGATTGTACCCACAATGCAACACGTCTCCGGTGAGGTGGACGAGACAGACATCGATTCAAAAGATACAATCTATTTACGTAATTTTGAAAATCGCAGTGTTTCATTAAAATCAGATAAGGACACTACATCAGAACTCAATTTTACAATTACACATAGCACGTTAGCGTCAACTGCGCAGACTCGTAGTGAGACGCGAATAGAACCAACTGGGCTTGCGTCAATTGAACAAACCAGACTCAAACAATCGCAACGCCCTGAAAACGTTCACAGTATCGCTGTTTCACATACTGGCATGACTCAGTCTCACATTACACTCGTTAACACAAGCACAGATAAATCGAAATTTACGGAACTCACAATCTCTCACAATTATAATGATAACAGGACACTTGATGAAAAAGCATCAAAATCGACTACAGTCGCTAACACCACGGAGACAGTACCACAAATACCGAATACGATGACAAAAACGTCAGTATACAACACGCCAGTCTTAACGTCCATCCCTATATACACGGAGAGTAGTATTATTGAATCAAAACATGTACTTGTGACGACAGTACGTGACGGGACTCTTCTTATTCCAACGCATACAGTAACTACCAACACGGCAAAAAGCAGGCACATTGCAGAATTCAAAACGGAGCACGCGAATAATTTCCAAACAAAACCGACGCCAGATAAAGACGAACCTGTCGGACATTCAGGGTCTAGATCTGAAGTACAGAACAAAGAGCTGAAAAGTTTCACGACACAGTCAAAACCGAATGCTGTTATGCCAACTATGTATATGAAAACACCACATGACGAACTAGTGCAGACGAAATTATCAACGAGGGCGTCCCCGGGAGTTGCTTTCACACCGACAATTCAAGTGACCAGCGGCCAACAACCTGATCTCAACAACAAAGTTGAAATTTCTACCAAGCATGAAGATTTGTTGAAAATACTACCGACCAGATCTTATTCCACTGTAGATCCGATTATTACACCTACGATTTGTGAATCTCATGATGATGTCGTTAAACTAGTGTATCGAAAATATAGTACACCAAAAACGATGCAAATAAAACCAACACCAACTATGATCAAAGAAAATAGCAGTGGTAAAAACGAACCAACTCTTGTGTTGGATGCTTCTGAGTGGGAGTTCACCTCCTTAACAACTTCAACTCGCCATACGCTAGCGGAATCTGTAATATCAACCACGCAAAGTCGTGTATCTGCCGTTATCAGTGGGCGCGACAGGAATTACCATAGTCTATCTCATCAACAAGATAACCCCAGTTTGATTGGCAGTCATGAAAATTTATTTCCAAGGAGAACAACAACAACGGGTATACTCGTACGTAACACAGTGGTCAACGTGCCGTTAGAAAACCAGGTTATCGGGCATATCGGAGATGCTATCCGTTTTGCTACCAGTGTAGCTAAAATTGACCAAACCCAACAATTGCCAACTTCTAAGTCATCAGGTAATAGTTTTAATACCGAGCGTTTGTCACCAGACTATTTCAGCGGTCGTATCCCTGTGCAACCAGACCATACTACGGATGGTCAGACGACTTTTCTGACATCTACTGACATCAAACGTCATATATCACAGACATCCACGTTACCGAGCCGAGATTATATTAGACAAACTGTTTCGCAACCAGGTGAAATTATTAATGACCCGGCAACTAAGCATTTACTCAATGAAACCGTTGATCGACCGACAAGTAAGCCACCGGACAATAACACTGGAGAAAATGCCACTAAACTAGTCAATGGAAATGACGAACGACCGACAAGTAAGCCACCGGACAATATCGCTGTAGAAAATGACACCAAACTACAAAAAGAAAATGTTGATAGACTGACAAGTAAGCCGCCGGACAATATCGTTGTAGAACAGCCAACTAAACTACTCAATGAAAATGTTGATAAACCGACAACTAAGTCACCTGACAATATTGTTGTAGAAAATGCAACTAAACTACTCAATGAAAATGTTGATAGACCGACAATTAAACCAGATGACAATGTCGTTGTAGAACAGGCAACTAAACTACTCAATGAAAATGTTGATAGACCGACAACTAAGTCACCAGACAATATTGTCGTAGAAAATGCAACTAAACTACTCAATGAAAATGTTGATAGACCAACAATTAAGCCACCGGACAATATCGTTGTAGAAAATGCAACTAAACTACTCAATGAAAATGTTGATAAACCGACAACTAAGTCACCTGACAATATTGTTGTAGAAAATGCAACTAAACTACTCAATGAAAATGTTGATAGACCGACAATTAAACCAGATGACAATGTCGTTGTAGAACAGGCAACTAAACTACTCAATGAAAATGTTGATAGACCAACAATTAAGCCACCGGACAATATCGTTGTAGAAAATGCAACTAAACTACTCAATGAAAATGTTGATCGACCGACAAGTAAGCCACCAGACAATATTGTTGTAGAAAATGCCACCAAACTACTCAATGAAAATGTTAATAGATCGACAATTAAGCCAGATGACAATATCGTTGTAGAAAATGCCACCAAACTACTTAATGAAAATGTTGATAGACCGACAAGTAAACCACCAGACAATATCGTTGTAGAACAGGCAACTAAACTACTCAATGAAAATGTTGATAGACCAACAATTAAGCCACCAGACAATATCGTTGTAGAACAGCCAACTAAACTATCAGATGAAATTGTTAATACCACGACTACTAAACAACCAGACAACTTGAATGTTGTTGTAGAAAAAGCTACTAAACTGCAAAATAAAACAGTTGATATACCGAAAAGTGTACAACCGAACAATATCGTTGTAGAACAGGCTACTAGTCTACCAAATAAAACTGCTATTAACATGACAATTACACCACCGGATAAAAACGTTGAAGAACAGGGTACTGAACAACCAAACAAAATTATTGAACGACCGACAACTAAACCAGTAGTAAATATCACTGTAGATCATGGCACTGTTCTACAAAGTAAAACTGTTGAAAGCCCGACCACTACTAGTAAGCCACTAGAAAATATCGTTGTAGAACAGTTCACTAATCTACCGAATGAAACTGCTGCGAGGCCGACCACTAAACCACCAAACAATAATTATGTGGAACAGGTCACTAAAACTGACGATATACAGACCGCTATAGAACACACCAACAAGTCACAAAACCATTCTGTTCACACTCAGAAATCTACACTACCAAGTCCCATTGCTGATAGCCATACCCTCAAACCATCACGGAATATTGTTGATGACCAGAATCGTTCACTACCAAGCGTCCGAACGCCTACACTACCAACCTTTCTGTTTGGCGACAAGACAACTTCGTCACCGAGCATACTCATTAGCACTCAAGTTCATGCGCCGAGTGAACATAGTGTTGACGGTCAGATATCTGTCTTACCAGCCACAATTGTGGATCATCATGAACATGTACTTTCTTCGAACCAGATCAAAAATGCATCATTAGATGTGACAATTACGTCTAAAACGGACAAACAAATCCAACGTTCACTGACAACACAAGTTGTTAACAAATCGACAATTCCTAGCGAACAAACCAAAATTGAATTGACCAGTACGCCACGCATATATCAAACAAATAAACACAACGTAACATACATAACCAACTCATCGTATCCTACAATGCCGCCCGTTGTAGGTCAGATAAACCGAATTTCTGTGGTCCAGTCAATGGCAACTAAGAGCCACAGTCAAACAATAAACAGAATCTTACCATCTTCAACGACGCCAACAAGAAATGGTTCCATGGTTATAAATGCCGCATCGAAGAATACAAGTGACAGAGAACACGACACGATGTTGTCGACAAAACAAGGACCTGATCACATCATACCGTCCACGATAAATAGTCTCAGAGTGACCTCGTTGGCATTTGTAAATGACACCCACATGGCACAAGAACGTGTGACTTTTGAACAATTAAACTCAACCGATGATTTGACAACGACCACAACAATTATAGACGAATCGTCGAAAAAATCCGATCATTATAGTCAATGTGAGAAAAAGGCAGCCGAAGAATTTTGTTTGAACGGCGGTACTTGTCGATATTTGCCAGAACTAGGGGAAAACTCTTGCAGGTGAGTAGTCAAAACATCGAGGTTTAGTATGAGTTATGTATTATATGTTAAGTTATGTAAGACGTGTAGTGGATGATGTTATGTTATGTGTTACTATGGTAAATATAGTGTTAAGACATCTTTCAATTACAAGTTATGTTACGGTACGTTATGTTGTATTCCGCCATGTTACAATGGGAATATTGTATTTTACGTCATGTTTTGTATGTGCTACGTTGAAGCGCGGTGGTCGTTGCGCAGCGCGTGTTCGAATTTCATGTAAATAAACAATGTATTTTACACGCGTCGCCATGAGTCCCATATCGAACAGGACGCGGCGCGACGACTGCCGCCCTTAAAGTTTTTTTCAGTTCTGTTCTGTTATATTCACTTATTGTCATTAACTCGTCGTCATTTTAACAATATCATTGCGAAATTCTTATGAATATCCCACTACCCCAAATATGATATAGTTTTAATACATGCTGAAATATTCTGACAGCAACTTTCTACGCAGAAAACAGCTTTGCAATCGTGGAATATTACTCTAAAACGAAAATGAAATGTGGCGGCTAAGCACGACCAGACATCGACCTTGCTCTTTCTTGTCTGACGTCATTCTTCGTTTATGCTGACAGGTGTACGCGTGGATATACAGGTGTGCGCTGTAGTGACTGGATACCAGATAAATATCTGTCTGACCTGCTCGAAGATGAACTGATGGATACGGCACTAGGGTTAGCGGTTGCCGTGACAACGTTGATTCCCATGGGAGGAGTTACCGCATATGCATATTATAACACGTAAGTACGCACTGGTTGCGGCACGTACGTCAGGGCGTTCACACTTTACTCGTACGGACGTCGGTGTCAAAATGAATTACGTTGATTCGGGTGTTGATCGTTAAAGCTGAGTCACCTTAATACAGAAGGCTTTTATTTCGTAGCATGACATGTCAACATTCTGTCAAGATATCTGTAGCAAGGGTACTGTTTCAAGTCACGTAATAGTATGCAGTTTTGTGGAACACCAATCCATTAAAAATGTTATCTTTGGCAGCTATTCAAACATTCGAAATAGCGCCCGCTGTCTAGAAATTCTCCCCGAGTTAATAGATATATTACGAAATGAGATGTCGTAATTATATGACATGGCGGGATACATCCTCTATGATACTATAATCTTCAATTGGTAATATTAGAAAGGCACTCTAATGAAAAGAGCATCCTGTATTTAAAGCATATCCGTCGTACGTAAACCATGGATAGTCACTTCTAAAGTGACCGAGTAGTGAAACGGGTCAACGCTATGAGATTCGTAGACCCAGGCTTGTCGGATAAATCGATGATTCCATATCGAAGTGGAATGTTTGACATTTTAATATATTTCCAACCACAACACTATTAAACAAATTTCGTGTGATACTATGTATTTAGAGGTTTCGTAATGGACTGTGTTTAGGCATATGACGAACACGTATACCAAGAATATATCATCTTTGTAGCGAATTATCTGAACAGCTTGTTCTAACTAGCATTATTATGATGTCCGTGGATTTGACAGTGACATTGTTATGACAGCTTGAAAGCATATTTTTCGAAGTCAGAGTAAAGACATGTACAGGGGATTTTAATTCAAATCAAGAGGCCTTGCTCATATAACCCAAGGACGTGTTTTATCTTTCGTACGTTGTAAGTTTCATTTGTGCGCTTCGAAAGAAGACTTAATTGATACAACATCCGGGTACTTATCCAACTACATTTTTCCAATCAATAAAAGTAGAACACTTGAAATGTAATCCCCTTTCTTTCATACTGGGATTATTTTAACATCCTTTCGTTAATCAAAAAACCGCATAAAATGACGCAAATTGTAATAGGCTAGCTGTGAGTTAATATTATTGACTATTCGCGTCACTATTAAAATATATGTAAGCGATGATTGCAAGAGACTCGTAACAGAATACACTTTTTTGACACACGAGATGGCGATTACGTAAATATGTCGCCTGTACAATGTCAGCGAACAAATGGCGGCGCTTTGTACTCTGTATCAGGCAGAACACATTTACACAAGACATGTGCTCTTCTATTGCCAATATTTTTTTTTCCTTTGAAATTGACAAATTCTGTAAGTTTAATATCTAACTTCTAAAGTCAGTGTTATAAGTTCTGACAAAAAAGTGATATTATTATTATTATAGACTACTATGGTCGACATCGCGCGAACACACACCATAGCATGGATGGATTAACATGACAAATGACGAAATGAGTAACCAAACAAACAAACAAGGTTGGGTGATAATTTACCATATGAACATCGTTAGACCATGTGTACACGACTAAAATTTGTTTCACGATTATTTATGATTTCGCGGGAAATGATGCGCGCCATCACTAGTATTTGTTTCAGACATGAGGCTGTGGGCAGAATCACGCCCATAAGTAACCGCACTACATGTTAATTGACCATGGCACATCCCATAAAAAATTATAGAGATGGAACTGACAACGTGCTATACAGAGATTTGGCCAATCTACTAGTATGTCAGCCAGTGGCGGCGGAACAGAGGAGATCTGCTCACCATCCCTCGCGCCGAAAGTGCGAGTGGTCGCCGCCACGGTGCAACCCGGTGTCAACGTTTACGACGAATCATTTTAGGTGACGCTGACAGAGTACGGTTTAACACGTAGCAATTGACAGCAATTAAATGATGAATATCTGGAATAATAAGCAAATATGTTTAATGACATGTAAATTATCCGTGTACGCACCGGTGGGTTACGTTGATGATGTACAAATATCGTGTTGTCACTGTGCCATAACTTACCGTGTTTCGCTGTCAGCTTCACAGCATCAGTCGCACGTACGAAATCGGGACGATGTATGTCTTATAACACTTTCTATTTATCTAATAAATACAAGTATTTCAGTGACGTTCTTGTGAAAACATCGAGTGCGCATTTAGATGCAACTTAATCCACGATGGGGCAGGCACGTTTGCGTCGTGGTGACCCGGCGCTGACAACCACACGCTGTTCGGTAGGATGCCACAGTCATGTTAACGAATTATCAATGAAGCCGCACGTTGTAGTTATTCCATGTGATAGCATTTGACGAGGTTTCGCTTGCAACCGTCAGTGTTCTCTGTGTTAGGTAAAAATACACATCCGAGTTTCTGATCAATGCTTTGTTCAGAGGGCGTTATTTTGGTCTTTGCTTTCTGTGTTTCCAGTTCAGTACATGTACCAAGGCGATGCATTCAGTTGTATTGTTACTTTTTGCTATCAACCAAATCTAGAAAAATAAAAACAACGATTTGTTTAGTATAAATTTTAAACAACAATTATTTATTTACAATATCATTGATGCACCTCTCTGGTGGGTTCGTCGAGTTCAGAACGACAGTATGCGCTAAGATCGCAGCGAATTTACAAGTTCAACTTAGGGTTATCTGAGTGTAGTAAACACAATACGAAAGTCGTACGTAAGTGCCCAGTGCCCAAAACTATTCAGTAACTTTCAAACGACGTAGGAATTAAACTTATTAATCAGGTTGTAGCCAAGCAGTGTGCAACCAACTACAATGTACTTCTTTCCGCGATAAGTCATGTATAAAAGTTCACGTATACGTCGGTCATACTGTCACACAGGCGGCAGTTACGTAGATGCATGTTTTTATATTGCGATGAAAAGACGCCAAACTTATACAGCGTTATAACAGATAAACATTGCCTTCGTGAATATACTGGATAAATTTCGGCACATCACCGCATTGATCGTGTACAATATGAAAAACAACATATTGACTCCACTTTAATTTAGTCGCCAAAGACTCGAGGCTTCTAAAGATTGGGAATCTACGCTCGATTGCAAATATTGATTAGTCGAGATTTGAAGAAAACGTACACTTTTTCACAACCATGACGTCATAGAGGCATTAAATATATATCGTATACTGAGATTTCTGTGAGAATGTAATACTGACCTTGTTGTTTTACGTTGATACATAAACTTGCACTCTATATCGGTCATCTAAGGTAACTAGAGCGTAAATATCAGATTGAACTTGAATAAACCCGGATTGGTTCTGTTCAAATTTAACAGTTTCCTATTGGAAGTGAAACACGACATGGACGCTTGACCTCGCTTGTATAGTAGTTGATGTGGGTTGGATTTTACCATCACCATCTCATTTTATTCCAATCTGCTACCATTAACCTGCAACAAATAGTTCCAATCGTGTCGCATTTCAAATTGTCTGAGGGCGGTATATTTCATCCGATCTGAATTCGCAGCACGAGATCCTATTTTTATACCTACAATTCGATGAGCATGGTTGTTACTCTGGGTGGAATGCATTCCGTGTAGAAACGCCGCATCTTCGCTTGTATCGAGGTCTAGCAATCAGCGAATCGTTGTGGAATATATGGCATATATACACCGTCGGTGGTACGATATAAGAAGCCAATCGAATGCAGATAGAGTGCATTTAGATTATCAGCAATTATGGAAATCAATATTATTTGATGGGGTTTTATGATATTAAGGTGGATATCGACCGTGAGATCAATTCTGTAAAACTCTGTCATGCTTATAATCATGAAATTATGTAACTCAAAATGGATTTAATAAAATAATCGACGGGTGGTTCATACCGTCTGAAGAAAATCTCCACGCCGCGATTACACACACTAAATATTAAAAAGTAACAATAAGTCAAGTTATATATATTGTTTTCACAGAAATATCCGGTCACAGATAGAGAATGAATACAGGGCCACTCATTTATACGCACCGGGTAATTGATGAACTACTCAACATATATGTACATTGTACGGTGGAGAGATGTCTGTAACAATCGCATATACAATGGAGAATGGTACGCTGGATTACGTGGCTAGCTAATATAGAGAAATATTTATTGTGTTTATTTACTTTAGGAGAAGGTCAAACCTCGGGGTAATGAAATAATGTATCACGTTAAGTTACATTATATATATATATATATATATTCTTGTATTATTAAAAGTTGTAGTACCGATATATGTTAAAATACGAATTATTACCATGACAACCAAGACAAGTATTACCGTGCTATTGGTCACGGTGGTGATCTCAAACAATTGCATCTCGTTTTTTTCTATGTGGGAAGCTAAAAACGGTTTATTTAATTGTTAATCACTTATTCTTAGTCTACGCAGTTATTTTAGTAATTTTGTTTAAATCCCGTTTTTAAAAAGGGTAGTTGTTTATTGATGATAACTATTTTTTGCTTAATATACATTTGTATTTAATAAGTACTATCAATTTCGTTCTAATTACATACCATAGATTACGGGAACAACAGGAGAGATAGAAACACACACCATGCTCCGCCGTGATGAGCGTGATGCATATCAATAAATGTCTTCACACTTTTATTCTTATATGTGTATCCACGAGTAGTGTATTTTACAGTCACGTGACACTAGACTTGACGTGCACAGATGTGTGTAACTTAATATATTCGAGTTAACTTTAATAAACGAATTGTACACAGTAATGCTATTTGTGTCATCTTGTAAATCAAAATCCGAGATCACAATAATGACTTAATTTCCTAACATGGCAGTATGAATTCGACACACAAAAAGAGAACAGCAATTTAAATAGAACGATAGAAATCGACAAGCCGTGATTACTCTATAAATACCATAATTATTTCCTAGGAAATGTATGCTACTGGTTTCAACCGCGGCACGACATTATCACACTGGTTCAAGGTCTTTGCCAATAACCGTTTATCGGTTTCACCATGAACCTTATAGAAGATCTATAATTTCACTCACGCCGATTAGTTTTATGTTGTATTTCAAAGCATCTATGCGCGCTAAGCATGCTGGTAGCCCAAACCATCTGACTGTTGAGCGCTGCGCCCTCTATGACAAAAGTTGTCCAATCAGCAAAAAACAACTTGAAGACAAACTAGAAACGAACAATTTTGCGTATTAGAATAAAGAAACTTCCATAACACTGACCATGAATATGCGGTAGTTTTTTGGAGCCATGAAATTAAAAAAAAAGCAAACAGTGAAAACGTGTTTATACAGTTGTTAGGTTTAGGATTGTTTAATTACATGTTGCCGCGGCGTCTTTTATAAAGATTGTCTCTGTGTGATCCTATTATAGTCATTGTAATTTGAACACTTGTGACGAATACAAGAAAAATTATAATATTGAGCAAAGAAAGCAACTCATTAAATCAGTTTAACCACGGTGTGCATAACCGACCAACTCACGTTTCCGAAGGCAAAGTGTGGAAAATTGCCTTCACCCCCTGGCGTTCGCTCACTTGAAGAAATGGTACATGTTATTAATGGACATCAGATTGCCTGGGAAAACAAGAAACAAGTGGGCAAAGTTCTAATTAGACTCTGTGAAAACTTCGTTGCTAGACTTCTCATTGTGATCCGTGGATGTGGAAGTCAGCGCATATACCATATTTATTTTGAATAGTGGAATTAGATCGGCACTGTTTGTTTCTTATACTAACCCCGCGTGGTAAATCGGTTGCACATTTTACACGCACATAAACACATGGTAGGAATTGCTGTACATATCATTTATGAGACCAAAACGCGAATATGTCTCACCTGGTAAAGTATTTGTAAGGTTAACTCCTACAAAACTGAAGCCATTCAAAGGAGCTTTATCATCTACCTAAATTAAACTCAGGACTTGGACCACTATTTCAATTGATCCGAAATCAGGGCAACGTCAGTTATACACACACATGTAATCATTTAAATATTCCTATTCTTTTAAAAAGATGCATTTATCTTGACATATTATTTCTTTTCAAGTCTGTTAATGGTATTTTAGACTGCATATTCCAGAACGTTCTGCGAGACTGTATTCCATCAAAGTTAAATATTTCATTTCCTGATTTGCGCGTTTTTAACATATCAGGAAATTGTTTCAAGCACAATACCAGAGTAGCTGGTTTTTAATTTTGCACGTTATATCAATTTTGCACATTTTATGTTAATTTTCTGTTACTGTGGATAGTAATTATGTATTTATGCACTGTGAAATCTTGAAACCGGGCAAATATATCAGTATTCCAAAGTTCGAAGAAAATAATTCTTCCAAAACAGTTTCTTAATCATACTCATATAATTGAAGCATTTAGTAATTTTCTTTGTTCAATATTTTTATTATAAATAATGTGTTTTCATGATATTTAATTTGACTTTATTATTCAGAGCCTAAAATATTGTAATTTCTTTACAGTGATAATAAAGTTT